CATTTCTCAAAACTGTCCTGGAGAAACTGTCCCAGAACGGGAATGTGAGGTGAAATGCAATATGGCCTCCTGGGCCAGATCCTGAACAGAGAAAGGACATTCAAAGGCAATTGGGAGAGGTGTGGCTAGGAAACTGGAGTTAAATGAATGCCAGGCAGTGAGTGGCTTAGCTTTGGTGGGTGTGTCTTATCATGGAAGACACTGACACCAGGGGAGCCAGGTGCATTGGGAACAGCCTCTGCCTGACCCTCGACACTTTTCTACAAAGCTAAAATTACAAACAAGGAAGCGCGCGCGCGCGCGTGTGTGTGTGTGTGTGTGTGTGTGTGTGTGTGTGTGTGTGTGTGTGTGTCCACGCCCACTGACTTGCTCCAGTGGTCCTGATCTCCATTTGACTCCTGTAGATCTTACCCCCATCTCCTTTCTCTGGCCCAGGCGTGGCCTCTGGCTTCCCAGTCCCTGCACCTCTCCATCCTGCTACATGCCTCGCCCAAGCCTGCTTCCCCCGCTCAGCCCTGACCACTGTCTGCAGGTGGGCTGTCTTCCCACTGGCTGATGTGTTTTGTGAAGGCAGAGGCTGGGAAACCTGCAGACCTCCGAGGGCAGGGCCATGCCAACACCACCTTGGCGGACTTTCACTATGTCTGGCTCACAGGAATGCATGTGGGAAAGAAGAAATTGGGCCTAGAATGACCCTGACCTAATCTTGAGCCCTCTGCGCCCACAGCCTGCTAGACTCTACTTTCGATGGGGATGCCCTCCAGGGAAGTGTTTCCTGCCCGCTTCTCAGATCCACACACCTGAGGCACCATCAATGGTTCATCCCATGCACCGTGCCCCCCCAACAGGTCTAGCTCAAGGGGACTGATGCTTTCCACGCCACTCGGCACCAATGTCAAGTCCTCACCACAGCTGCTCATGAACTTGCCCTTGTCCCCATCACTCCTGTCCAGTTCATGCACACCAAGCATGCCTGGGCCTTTGAACTGGCTTTATTTTCCGACAGGGATGTCCTTTCTTTAAGAATACACGGCTCCCCCGTTCTGGCCTAGTCTTCTGTTTTCCTCAGGGACATCCTTATAAAGTTCACCGCCTCTGTGCTCCACTCAGTGTCCACGACTCTTTCCCCCCCCCCCCCCCCCCCCCCCCCCCCGCATCTCATCAACATTCACCTAGCTTCTGGGACGCAGGCTTTGAAGTGACAGGGACACTTGTTTGCTCCTGCAGCCCTGGCACCCCAACCGCGCTCACAAAGAGGCCAGTGCCTGCGACCAGATGAATCAGCAAGCAGTGGCCAGGACCCAGGGCTCAACTAGGGTGTATTGGCTTCCTAGTAACAGGAGGCTCAATCTACAGCAACCTGCTGAGTTCCCTATGAGCAGGCCAGAAGAAGCTGACTCCACGGCCCTCCACTAATACCAAGGACTGACTGCTCTCCCCGAGGAAATGGCCTGGAACTACACTCCTAGAAGTTGGTTAATAATGCTCCCACCCACCTGCCCACCACCTCCAACATTTATGAAGACCTTAATTCTGACAAACTCAGTGTTGATACTAATGATTGAGTCCATAGGACAGACTACGGGTAAGATAGCTTGCAATGCTGCTCAGTGACATCTGTGTCTTGATTCTTCGTCTGTAGGATGGGTATGACAACACTATTTAGCTGAGAGAATTCAATGAGCTATCAATAATTATACAATTTCACCACTGTATGATTTTGAAAATATTGCCTTACTTCAGTTAGCTAGTGCTGAGTAGCAAATCATCCTAAAACAGTATCATAAAACCGCAATTGTTTATTTCATGATTCTGGAATATGGACAAGGCTCACGGGGAGCGGCCTGAGGAGGACTCGAATCTGCTCCAGGGTAGTGTCGGCTGGGTTGGAAGATCCACGATGCCATGCACATACCTGGCACATCTGAAATACTTGGGGCGGATGCTGGACCTCTCTCTATAAAGAAGTCAGGTCACCAGGGGTGAATGGAGAGGCCACCAGACCTGCGAAGGCACTGGGCTCAGTGCCTCTTCTTGTGTTGATCAGATTACTGGTCCAGGCAGTACTCAACGGGGAGGAGAGGCCCCATCTTGAGTAGAAACAGCAGAATGGGGACTGTCTGAAGTGTAGCCATTGTAACACCCGTCAGTGGAACCTTTAAAAACATACAGCTGGGCCTGGAGGGTTGGCTCAATGGTAAGATCACTGGCTGCTCTTCCATAGGACCTGGGTTCAGTTCCTAGCACCCACACAGTGGTCCACAACTATCCCAAACTCCACTTTCAGGGGATCCAATGCCCTCTCCTGACCTCTGAGGGCACCAGGCCTGCTTGTGGTGCAGACATACACACAGGCAAAATACTCATACACATAAAATAAACAAATCTAAAGCAAAACCAAACAAAATCCCAACCCAGCTAACCTTACTCTCTGTCCCTGTTTAAAATTCTCTTGCAACTCTCTGTACACACGCATTGGGGACTCATGGTTCTCCTGGGATGGACAAAGTACAGGCCCTTGTTCCATCCACCTCAGCCTCTGGGTGCCAATCATCACACACACACAGTTCTCTGAATAGAGCTGGTACCAACCCCATGGCCTGGAATCTCTTCTTGGAGCCAAATTAGAAGTCCCTATCAGTGTCCCTTCAGTGCTCTCGGTCCTGTCCCTTCCCACTGCTGTGCTTTCCTCTGCTGTATTCCCACATGGCAGACTGCAGAAACAAGGTACCTGTTGACTGTCGTGAGCGCTCAGAATTGGTTAGCTGTACAGAGGGGATGATGGACTCCCCGGGAGGCTGGAATGTAGATCTATGCTCTACAAGTGCTCATCTGATAGGGAGCCCTGCTGGGCGCCACACATTCTTCTGTGTAGGAAAAAAAAGCATAGAGTGACCCAAATGCTTGCTTCCAAGAAGTTCAAGGGCTCCTGGAAGGGGAGACGGTTGACAAGATAAATTCCAGCATGTGCCAGTGGCATGACCAACACAAGGAAAAATGGACAGGGACGTTAGCAGTGTCATTCAGAAGTGTGGTCAGGCAGTGCCGTCTAGAGACAAATGGTCCGAACAAAGAGAACACCAAGCACCAAGGCCCTGCGGCTAGTGCAGCCGGAGCAGAGACAGATGGTGAAGGGCCCTGCAGGTCCCGGAAAAGACCTGGGCTTTACCCTGAGTGAGATGGAGTCCAGGATGATTCTCAGCAGGGAGGGACAAGCAGGTGCTCAGAGTTTCTTTAGGTACATGGGGAATGGTGAGGGTAGGAAGACCAAAGAGGATGCCACAGACGTGCATGGCCTGCACTATGAGAGTACCCTGGAGATACCCAAGAAGGTATCAGGTAGTCAGCCAGCCTGGAGCATGGTTCTCCACCACAAACACAAATGAAATCCCATGTCCAGTCTACATTCCTTATGGGGCCTACATGATCTGGTCTTGCTGATACCTCCAGGCTCAAATACACTTTGTTAAATCAATGACTGGTGTACACACACACACACACACACACACACACACACACACACACACACGTGCGCGCACCAATCTGAGTCTACTTCCTAGTCGTGTGACCCTAGGCAAGTAATTTAACTTCCATCTGCCCTCACTATCCCCAAACTTGGAGAGGTCACTGCAGTTTCTGCCTTCAACGGCCTGTTCATTCAAAGTCTTTTACTCGGAGGCTGGGTGTGTAGAACACTTGCCTAGAATCTGGGATTTCTTGGGTTCCGTCCCCAGAACCACAAAAACACATAAAAAACAAACAAACAAACAAACAAACAAACAAAAACCCCAAACAAGACCAAGACTGTCAATGGGGCATGGGGTACTCCATCTGCTCCTCTCTACCTCATCCTTCCACTCAGCCTGTTAACTCAATTGTCTGGAAAGCTTACCTGTCCTTTCCTGGCCTTCTCAGCATCGCCCCCGCCCTGTTATTCCCTAGACAGCTTTTGCCTAGGGACCTGCCACAAGCCGGCAGACCCGAGTTTTTTTTTCTGCAATCCACTTCCATACTTCAGAAAAACTGGCTGTGCCTCAGTACCTTCGAAAAAGTCCAGCTCCCTAGATATTCAAAGACCCCCGATAAATCTTAACTGACATTCTCAAAATGATCACCGTCACCAGTAACCCACAAGTGACCAGGAACTTGCGCACCGCGGCCTCTGCCAAGTGCCCTCCACTGCCCCGCCCAGGCCCTGCAAGGTGGGCTGACCACTCCCCCCACAATCCTCGCCCTTGCACATCATCCAATCACCACCCGTCCTACTGGCCCGCCAACATCCGGGCCCTAGTGCCAGAAAGCTCATTGAACAGTCCCCACTCATATGCGCAGAGACTTCTGGGCTTTGTAGTTCCCCAAGAAAAGCGAGCAAAGAGCCGGCCTTGTAGAACTCCATCTCCCAGGAGTCACCGCGCCCGCCCGTTGTGAGCGCTCTTAACAGTTTGAACCCGGTGGTTCTTTGCAAGGCTGTTTGGGAGACAGATGATTCCAAATTGCCATGAAACAAAAACCACTTACCTGGAAGTCAGGGAGCGTCATTTTGCCCGAGAATCTCAATATTCTGCAATGACTCCAGAATGGGGCTGGACACAGGTGGGGTAAAATCTGTCCCCATTGCCTGTCTGGATAGTACCAAGGAAGGCCTGTCGGGTACACCCAGAGCCCACTGGGTGCCTGCCTGATAAAAAAAGCCTCTCCTGGGTGGACTCTATGTGAGCCCTGACAGACGAGGGCAGAGCATTACAATTCCCAGCAACAGGCCAGAAGGGGGGATTTTACCCCGGAAAAGGCAAATGTGGGCCAGGATTTTGCACCCAGGATATATCTATGGTTCTACAGCCCGCCAACCTCCCGCTGCCCCATGCCTGCACCAAGAAGTATGATGTCCCCAGGAGGGATATACCCACACCACAAAGCATCCCTTCCCCACACCACCTTCCCCACCATGCCTCTGAGGGTCCGAAGAGGGAGCCAAGGCCCTGCAAACGCTCAGGCAGGCATGTGAGAAAGCTCTTTACTGGGGGGTACAGCAAGGAGGAGCAAGGCCATCTCCCCCTACCTGCCCCCACCCCCTCCTAGGGCCCTAGGGTGAGGGGAAATCTCCCCTCTACCGGACCACCACTGTCTTTGGTACAATAAATAGAAAACAAGGGGGGAGAGGGGGCCAAGGGTCCAGTCTTAGTGGGGAGGGTGTGGCCAAAACCCCTCTCCCTCGACCCCCTGCCCTGGGCCCCAATCAGTGCAGGCCTCACCCACCCCAGCTGGGTAGCAGCAAGTCCAGTCAAGGGGAGAGATGAGGATGGGAGCCCAGGGCCCCCAGATGGGGGGGTATGGCTTCAGGAGGGGCCCCAGGGAGGGGCAGGGTCATGAGCTGGCTGCTGTGCTCTGGGGTACGCCATGGAGGCCCAGGCGAGGCCCCAGAGTGGCAGGGTCATCAGGGGGTGGGAGAGGTGGTCGACCTCCCGTCATCCGAGTCCGGAGGGCTGAGGCAGCCGGGTGCTGGGGGGCAGGTGCCAGATGAGGTGGGGAGCAGTCTGGAGGGCTGCCCACCAGGCTCACATCCATCAGCTCCGGGGGTGGTGGTGATGTTGGTGATGGGGGACGTCCAAGGCATCGGGGTTGGGGGGGTAAGTGGGCCCCAGTCCCTGGCAATGTCGAGGCAGAGGTAGGGGCTTGATGTGTCTTGTGGGGCACATCACCCCCTGCCCAAGGGCGCAGAGGCTGGGAGGGTATAACCTAAAAAAACAAACAAAAACCAAAGGAATTGGCAGGTGTTGAGATCTTCAAGTTCCAAGGACCTGCCTGCCACGCACCTCCAAGGCCTCACAGCTTCAGTACCTGGGGGCTGTTCATCTCACAGTCGGTGATGGGGGGCCCGGGCCCCCCACAATATCGGTTGCTGTAGCGGTAGGCCCTGTTGTCACTGGAGGAGCCACTGGAGCCCCCTGGAAGCACAGGGAAGAAGAGAAGAGGGCGGAGCTGATAAGAGGCGGGGAGCCGGTTCAACACCTAGACCAGAGCCTGTGTGAAGGCCCTAACAGCCCAATTCTGAAATCTAGGGTCCGAGTTGTGTGGGAGGCTAGAGTCAGTTTTAGGGGCCGAATCTCAAGCCTTGATTGGGAGCTCCTGCTGGTCACGTGGGACTGTCCCCCCACCTCATCCTGGAGCTCAGAATCTGGAAGCTCTAAGGCTCTAAGACAGGCCCACTGGTGAGGTCTCCCAGGCTGGGCCCTCCCTGCAGCACACATCTGACACTGGGCACCCACCAGAGCTGGAGATGGAGCTGGCGGTGCTAGAGGAGGGGCAGGTGTCGAGGGGCGCGGGCGAGGTGGAGGCACTGCTGCCTGCCGGGCCCGTGTTGGTGGCCTCGTCGGCCGTGCGGCGGAAGAAGCCGTGCTGCAGAGCGCCCAGCGGGCTGATGCGGGCGGCGGGCTCATACTCCAGCATGCGCAGCACCAGGTCCTGGAAGCGGAGGTAGTCGGCGGGGCTGTGGCCCGGCTCCCCCGCCCGCCGGCCCCCGGGCCCGCCCGTCTGCACGCCCAGCACCTCCTGCAGCCGCCGTGTCCCGGGGCCCTGGTAATCCTGGCAGGGAGGGGGTCGGAGGGGGGGCAAGAGAGTGGCCGTCAGTGGGCAGGAGGGGCAGGGAAACACACACGGGGAAACAGAGGCACAAAAGAGGAAGAGGAAGAGAGAAGCTAACAAGAGCTGGGGGGTAGGACGGTGGGGGATGGGGTGGGCAGGGGAGGAAGAAAAGGACAGACAAGGGGAGAGAGACAGGGAAAGACACAGGGAGAGGGGAGCCCCAAGTGTGAGTGAGGGGCCACCCAGGGTGGGAGAAGTGGCACAGGGCAGGGGCCGCACCTTCCTGAGTTCCTTTGTCCTTCGTAGGGTCCAGCCACCCCCAGGCAGCCGCTCAAAGTACTTGCGAGCCTTGGGTGCCTGTTCCAGCATGGGCGCGGGCGGAATGCCCAACACCTCGACAATTCGGCTCATCTGGTCCACCTGCGGGCAGGCGGCGGTCAGGGGCGCCGGGCGGCCAGGCTCCACCCCTCCACCTCCAGCACACCCCTTCCAGGGGCACACCTCATTGGAGCCGCTGAAGAGGGGCTCTCCGGTGTGCATTTCCACAAGGATGCAGCCCAGGGACCACATGTCAATGGCCAGGTCATAGGGTGTGCCTAGGAGCACCTCGGGTGAGCGGTAGAAGCGGCTCTGGATATACTGGTAGATCTGGGGGGAGGGGACAGCAGTCAGGGCACTAGCTCCCCTGCTGGTTCCACTGGACCACACAGCTGAAGACAAGCCCCTGCTTGAAAACAGGACGCAGCTCCTAGGTGCTCAGCAAGGTTGCAAACCAGTCACTGTCTTGCTCATCAGCTTCCAGTCTTTGGCCTGCTTTAACTGTCTCCATTCCCAGCTCTGGCCCCTTCTGTTTAAGAGAGGCTGGCCATCCCATACTGAACTACACCACTGTAACCCCGCGACCTGCTCACAAGAGGCTGCAAGGCTTCTAGGTCCTCTACCTGTGCCCTCATGAACACAAGTCAGCAAAGCAGAGCTCAGGCTCAGACCTCAACTCCACTACTCTGAGAAGCTGCCTGCCCCTCAGGGTCACCCTTTCTCTTCCTTGCTTGGGTCTCCTCTGCCCCCTTCATCTCTGACCCCCTCCCTCCAGGCCCCAGGGCTCCCTCCCTATGCCCAGTGTCATCTCAGGCATCAGCTTCCAGGGCCGAAACGAAGCCGATCTACCCCATCCCACTCAAGACACCGGCCCTGCCCAGAGTCAGAGCCGCACCCGCTGGCCAAGCTGGCAGGAGCTGCCAAAGTCCACGATCTTGATAGCACTGCGCTTAGGATTGCAGAGCAGGATGTTCTCAGGCTTGAGGTCGCAGTGGATGATGCTGAGCTCGGGAGTGGCCAGAAAGAGCAGCGCCGTGCAGAGCTGCTGCGCCAGCTTCCGAGTCAGGTTCAGTGAGACCCCTCGGAAGTGTGTGTTGCGCAGGAGGTCGTACAGGTTGTAGGACAGCAGCTCAAACACCAGGCACAGATGATTCCGGAACATGAAGTGCCGCTTCAGGTGCACTGTGGGGGACAGCAGGCAGCAGATCACAAACAGACTGACGGGCAGACAGCCTGGGGCCACATAGTAAGCACCTCTGCTAGACTGCAGAGAGCCCTCAGCTGTTTGTGCACTGGACTCGGTGGCCTCCCAAAGCATGCTAATTCTCGAGGCTCACAGACCTTCCGACTGTTACCAAAAGGAAGGTTTCTGCCAGCAGGGAATAGTAAGCATGACTTCGTAATCCTAGCCTTTGGGAAGCTAAGGCAGAGGAGGATGAGTTCAGGGCCAGCTTGGTACATAGTGAAGCCTGAAATCAGGGGGGAAAAAAACCAAAGGGTGGTGCAACCTTGGGGTTACATTAGCCCAGGGTAAGGGATGGCCAAAGGGTGGTAGCATGTTTGCCTAGCAAGTACAAGGCCCTAGGTTCAAGCTCCCAGCACTGCAAAGGGAAATAAAATGCACCGTCACCTCCTCCTGGAGCTTCAGAAGATTCCATGGCCCCTCATCTCACTTTATAACACTGAGCTAGGCCTTGGGGGGCAGGAGGGGCAGGCAAGGAGACCAATGTCTTCAGATGCAGATACAGGGAGTCTAAGCTCAAGGCTCATCTGGATGACTTTAGTGAAACTCCATCTCACAATAACTAATAGAGGTCCGGGGATGCAGTCCTGGGGTGAAGTGCTTGCCTATATATGAAGCACTGGGTTTGACTCCCAGCCTGGCCAAACAAAACCCCAAGTAAGTTCTACCACCACCCAAACCCAAATGAACAAATGAACCTGCTCTCCTTTTAGCTGTGTCTATCTTTGTGGCAAGGGACACTGGCTGTCCTTTTAAGAGACTGTCAGTCCCTTTCCAGAGGAACTGAAGACTGGGACACATCATAGTCAGAGTTCCAGAGGCCAGTGCTTCTCCAATTACTAATCCTGTTGTGTGCAAACTGCTACCTTTTGTACATGACAGCACTGAGTGCCTCACTTTCCTATCTCCAGCATGTGCACAAAACTGTCCTATTCCTCACGGGGCTGGGGTGAGGTAATTAATGTCAAGTGTTTGCAACAGAGCCTGGCCCTTACTTAGTGAGCTCTGGATAAACGCTGACCACTGTTAATCAAGTGAGCAGAGAAGGAAAATCCTGACCACAGCAAGAGACGCACGGAGGCTGAGCAGCCTAAAGACCCTTACTAGCTCTGGCTCTGCATGGCACCCTGCACTCACTCAGGCCCAGGCCTCACCTATGTAGTACTTCATCTCTGTGTCGTGCTGGTTCATCAGCTCCAGCAGCCGCAGCTCAATCTGGGCCTGGTTCAGGAAGGCCTTCTTGTTCTTGATGATCTTGATGGCCACCAGCTCCTGGGTCTGGTGATCATAGGCTTTCACCACCTGTCAAGACATGGAGTGTTACCCCGGGAGGTGGGAGGCCCACCAGCCACACCTTTCCAACTAACAACTCACAGCCCAGCACTCACAGCCCTTGTACTGGATACAAATACCACAGTCCCTTGTGTGGAGTCTTGTTATTTATACTTTTACCGACACTGAGACAGGGGAACTAAGTGGCTTGAGTGACTGGCCCAGGATAGGACTGGCAGCAAGTGAGCCACTGGGGTGGAGGGAATGTGGGTAAGGTCACTGGTTGTCTGCACCCAGGCACTGGATGAGTGGGGGAGTCCCACACCTGGCCAAAGGAGCCTTTGCCAATAAGAGAGTCAATCTCATAGCGCTCTAGCCAGCGCTCGCCACTGCGCACAATGTAGTCGTGGTTGTCGTCGTCATAACCGTGGTTCAGGACCTTCTTCTCCTTTTTGGTGCTCGAGTCCTGGGGTGGTGCCTGTTGGGCCCGCCGTTTCTTCTTCGCATAGTATACCTGCTCAGGCAGCCAGGAAACCGGACCCTTGAGTGACCCAGGCGAGCAGCCAGGGCCCTTTCCAGCACCCAGCCAGGGAATCCCATTCCCCACCCACCTCATTGATGTGCTTGTAGGTCTTGATGAGGTCCACTGAGAGCTTGCGCAGGGGGGCCGAGGTCGCGTCCCGGAAGGCCAGGGGCAGTCTCCGAGGCAGTAGCCGCACATCAGGCAATACCTGTGGTGCAGAGGGGCAGACGCGGCACAGGCCTTCATCTCCCACCTCCAGGGAGAACGGTAAAGCTGATGGCCATTTGACAATGCCCACATCTGCCTAGCTCTCCACAAAAGTAGACGCTCCCCAAGGAGAGATTCTACCCTATAGGGCCTGTCACACATTGGAGTTCCCCAGATATCTGTTCATCGCGAGATGAAGAGAATGGTTTACCTCTGACCTTCCACCAAGCCTCTGGTTAGCTCGTTTGCCCTTTTTTCCCTTCTGAACCCCAGTGAACACACGAATGAGAAACCTGGGTTCTGTGCACCCGACGAGACCACCATTTTTGGGAACCAGGCCACTGATGAATTCCCTGTCTCTCCATGTCCTCACCATCAAATGAGTGTGCCCAGTTCCTAAAGCTCTTGGACTGGGGCTAGATTTCTTGGGTTTCCCACCACCCTCAGCTCACTTTCCTTCCAGGCTTTTCACTCCAGACCTCTGCTTGCTGTGGACACTAAGACTCTGTTCTGGTCTCTTGTGTGCCAGTGACAGTTCTGAGCCTGACAAACATTACACCTAATTTGCTCAACCCTCGACACCACTCTGTGAGAGATGTGTGATGGCCATGGAGCAGCTCAGGAATTCAGTCCTCACAGCAGGAGTAAGTGTGGACCCCCCAAACTCCACCTCAAACTCTTGCAGTATCACGAGGCCTCCAACATCCTCAGAGATCTTCCAACAATCCTGCTGTTGTCTGGAGACCCTTTTATCCTCAGTCTCTTTCTATCCCCAGGCCGATGAGAAACCAGCTGAATGCCTACCTGTGTGTGTTCCTGGGGCCCTGGAAAGCCAGAGAAGGGACCATGGCCTGGTGGGACGGCCATGGTGGGCTCAGAGGGCCGCAGGGGTGCGAGGCCTGGAGCGGGAGCCCGGCCGGGGGGCGCCTTCTCGCATCCTGCACCTCGGCTGCCACCGCCGCTGAGACCTGAGAACAGGTAGGAAGCAGGGAGACAACATGGAACAAGAGGGTATGCAGTCAGGGCCAAACAAAGAGGCGGGCATGAAGAAGGGGGCAGGGCGGGGGGCACCAGGTAGCGATGCAGAGGGGGCAGAGACAAGTGGCAGCTAGGCTGGCATAGCAGTGTTCCTCAACAAATGATCGGCCAAATAAAGGAGACAACATGAGAAAACGTAAAGGGGATGGTTAGAGCCAGACAAGGGTGGGGAGTGGGGACAAGACAAGGACAGGAAGACAGAAAAAGGCCAGCAATCGGGAGAGCAAAAGAGAAGACAGAAACCATGTAGAGTCTGGGCAGTAGAATTCATCTTTTCTTTGAATTTCTGATGGTCCCACCCCGAGTCCTTCAGATAAAGCCCCGCCCTCACACGGTCTTCCCTCAACATCAGTCTCTTTGGGGCCACAGAGGGCCCCATTTCAAATCTGGTCCACCCTCTAGTTCTTTCCACTCTAGAGAACCCCAGGGTCCCTCACACCGTAGCAGTCCTTGTGGACCTCCCAGCAGAATCAAGGTTATCTGAGAAGCCCTTTCTGTGTGAGTGCTATGGGTGTCTCAACCACCAAGGCACACTTTCCCGAGGACTGACTCGACACCCCACCAAGACTGCTCCCAGCCCTTTTCTAAGTAGTCTATATTTATCCCACTAGGATTTCCCATTACTCCAAGACCCCCACTCCTAAGGAAAATAAGAGGAATGTGTCATGTCTCAACAGTTCAAGAGCCACAGTCTTTTTCTCCCTTACACTGGGATCCCTCTACTTAAACCGGGTCATTCCACAGTTGAGCCTGTTCCTAGAAAGGCCCAACAGCCAAATCCCTAAATAACACGAGACTTCGCTCTCTCAAAGTGTTCTCTAGAATAAAATCTTCCCTCTAGAGCCTCCCCCATGTCAGATCCCTCCTGTCCTATGCCTCGCGACTCCAGGTTCCCTTTACTGGGGCTTCACTGACAAACAAGCTCTTCCCCGGCCCTTCCCTCCCAGCTCCCACCCCTACCCGGGTCAGGGCTGGCGCTGGGCCCACGGGGGGCTGGGGAGCGATGGGGCCCCCAGTGCGGTGGGCGAACGGCCAGCATGGTGGTGGCGGCGGCGGCGGCGACGAGAAGGTGGCCGCCTGTCCCCGGCCTGGCCGGCCTGGCCTG